TTGAGCCCAGGAGTTGGAGGTTGCTGTGAGCGTGATGCCACGGCACTCTACCCAGGAGGACAGCTTGAGGCTCTGTCTAAAAAAAAAAAAAAAAATTGAGTTTTTCTCTTGTGTTGGCGATAACATGCTAAAGTTGAAGGCTGAGGTTATTCAGTGTGGATTTCCCATATCATTCTAAAGTGTGTTGGCACCTACAGGGACAGGTCATAGCCAAAATTTTATCTCTGTGAGAATAGATAGTTACATTTTATGAAGAACAAAATTAGCAATTGAAAATTATTCAAAGAAGATTTCTATAGAAATGCAGCATTTTGGTGTGATATCATGTCTTTGTATATTTGATAGAACTTTGCTGTAAATTCATCTGGTTCTGGATTTTTCTGTGTTGGGAGATTTTTTAGTTACTAATTCAGTCTTACTATTTGTTAATAGTCTGTTCAGGTTTTCCATTTCTTCCTGATTTATTCTTAGTAGAATGTACGTTTCTAGGAATTTATCCATTTCCTCTGAGTTTTCCAGTTTGTTAGTGTTTAGTTGTTCATTCTAGTTTCTTTCTTTCTTTTTTTTTTTTTTTAGAACATCTTAAATTTTTAATCCTTTCTTTACAGGTTACCTAGACCACTTTTGATTAAGAAAACTGTAGAAAGTTAGTAACTGCCACAAGCGAACGCCAGGCGGTGGCCCGTGTCAATTTTCCACAGAGTCCTGCTTTGCGGGGTGTCTGAATGCACTGCTCGGGGTCTCTACTCACACTTGCTGGAATCAATCGTGGCAGATTTTAGTCCACAGGTCACTTTTCCCCGTATTTCTTTGTAAACTCTTCAGCATTCTTACAGAATTTTTTACGGTCCTTAGAGTATTCTTCAGCTAGGTCAGCCCTTAGCGGGTGCTCAGGCTGGGGGGTCGTTCACCAGTGCTATGAGGGACTGGATTACTTGGTCGGTTTTGGTTGCTGGCTTCCAGTTTTCAGCACTAATTACTGGCAGACAAACCTGTCCCTTTTCATCGATGTTCGGGTGATAGATCTTTGTTTTAAATGTGATCTTCGGTGGCTTGAATGGGTACTCTGCTGGAAAGTTGATTTCGATTCTGAAGGCCCCCTTATCGTATGGAGGGTTGTCAGGAACAATAAGCCCTTGCCAAGTCAATAAATTAGCTTCATCAACCTGGAGGTTACGGAAGTTTTTCTTTCCACATTTGCGGATTTCTTCAAGCTCCTTCATCGGCCTCCTGCTGGCCGCCATCTTGGATCTGGTGCTGCTGCTTTCCCCTTCATTCTAGTTTCTGATGATATTTTTGTATTTCTATGATATTCTGATGTCTCCTTTTTCATTTCTGATTTTATTTATTTGGGTAATTACTCTTCTTGGTTAGTCTAGCTAGAGGTTTATCAATTTTATTTGTCTTTTCCAACAAATTTTTGTTTTGTTGATCATTTGGTTTTTTTTTCTTAGTCTCTATTTTGTTTAGTTCTGCTCTGATCTTTATTATTTCTTTCCTTCTGCTAATTTTGAGTTTGGTTTGTTTTTGCTTTTCTAGTTCATTGAGGAGCATCTTTAGGTTGTTTATTTGAAATCTTTCTACTTTTTTTGATGTAGGTTTTAATTGCTATAAACTTCCTTTTAGCACTGTTTTTGCCATATCTAACAGGTTGGTATGTTGTGTTAACATTTTTATTTGTTTCAAGAAATTTTTTAATTTCAAGTTTGATTTCTTCACTGAAGGTCAAACTGTAGCATGTTGTTTAATTTCTGTGTATTCATATAGTTTCCAAAACTCCTCTTGGTGTTGATTTCTAGTTTTATTCTATTGTGGTCTGAGAGGATACTTCATATTATTTTGATTTTTAAAATTTTTTTGAGACTTGTTTTGTGGCCTAATATATGGTCTATGCTGGAGAATGTCCCATGTTCTGACGAGAAGAGTTTATTCTGTAATTGTTGGATAAAATATTCTGTAAACGGTCCATTTCATCTAGAGTGGGTTGCTGAAGTCCCCCATTATTACTGTACTAGAGTCTATATGCCTCTTTAGATCTAGTAATACTTGCTTTATACTCCAGTGTTGGTCACAAACATAGTTAGAATTGTTGTATCCTTTTCTTCATGTTTCCCTATGTCATTATACAGTGGGGTTTTCTTTTGTTGTTGTTGTTGTTTTTACTGTTTTTGACTTAGAGTATATTTTATCTGATATGAGTATAGCTACTTCTGCTTGATTTAGTTTTTGTTTGTGTGGGAATATATTTTTCCATCCCTTTATTTTAAGTCTATATGTGTCTTCAAAGATGAAGTGTGTTTCTTATAGGTAGCATATAGTTGGATTGTGTTTATTTATTCAGCCAGTCTTTATCTTTTAAGTGGAGAATTTAATCCATTTTAATTCAAGGTTATTATTAACATGTGAGGTTTTTGTTTCTGTCTTATTGTTAACTGTTTTCTGGTTGTTTTATGTATTCTTTACTGCTTTCTTTTTCTCCTATTGATTGTCATTGTGGTTTGGTGGTTTACTGTAGTGGTTCCATTCAGTCCTTTCTCTTCCTCATTTGTATGTTTGGTTTACCAGTGAGTTTGGCACTTTCGCATGTTTTCATGATGGTAAATGTCCTTTCACTTCCAAGTTTAGAACTCCCTTAAATATTTCTTGTAGGGCTGGTCTAGTGGTAATAAATTCCCTTAGCATTTGCTTGTCTTGGAAAGACATTTTCTGTCATTTATTGAAGATAATTTTGGTGAATATGGTACCCTTGGGTGGCAGTGTTTTTCTTTCAGTACTTTGAATATGTCATCTAATTTTCTCCTGGGCTGTAAGATTTCTGCTGAGAAATCTGATTTTAGTCTGATGCTTTTGCCTTCATAGGTAACTAGATGGCTTTCTCTTGCTATTTTCAGTATCCTCTCTTTTGTTTTAATTTTAGTCAGTTTGACTATAGTGTGCTATGAAGAAGACCTTTTTGAATTACATCTGTTTGTGAAGCTTGGCCCACTGTATCTAGATGTCTAGGTACAGTATATATATTGTTGGTTTGGTAAGATGTGTTAGCTTTGATTTTAGGTGTATGCAATAGCATAATCTCCATATGATTTCTTTGGCTATAGACAATGTCAGTGGTATTTGTGATTTTCTTGGTGGCTTAGGGTACTCTTATTATTGGAGGCTGTAGTGGAGTTTTACTGGGGACTAGAATGCCAGATCGGTCATTCTTCAGGCCCCAGTGGTGGCAGCAGTGGGTTGAGCATACAAGTCCTTCCGTCCTACAGCACTGTATGCTTGAAGTATTTGTGCATCCAGGCAGAGCAATTTTTGAGCTCCCGGGTAACTTGCTTAGATACTGGTAGTAACAGTGGTGGGCTGGGCATGTTGGTAGTGTGTCAGGCCCTTGAGCAGCAGGGATTATATAGGTGATGGCAATAGCAGTGGTGGAACAACCCATTGAATGATGTTAGCAGTGGGTGTGACAGGTGGAATGGGCCAGTTCCCTGCTGCTAGTGAGGGTGGGAGTGGGTGCTAGCTGTGTTAGTTTCCGCAGGTTGGGTTGGCTTTACCTCAGACCTCAGGAGGACTATTTAGGTGCCAATGGTTTTGGGCTGGGTGATTGCCAGGTCTTTGGACAGTTGAGCTCACGTACTGAGGGTAAAGGACTAGGCTAGTGGACTTGTCCTCTAGGCCCCCTGGTAATAAATTTAGGGCTGACTGTGATAGGTAGGAGTGGGGTGACTCCATGCTGCTGGTGGAATGCTCAGGTGGCAGCAGAAGTGGCTGTACTGTGGGCCTGCTACTGTGGAGGTTGGGGCCATTAATATTGGCAGCAGCCCAGGCAAGCAGCTAGGGGGAGTACAGTTTGCTTGTGGTTCCTTCCCTTAGCAACCTGCAGCAGTGGTGGTAGGATCTGTGCTTGGGGCATGTGAAGGTACTCAGTATCCTCTCTCCCTCCTTGGCCCAGCAGCGGCATTGACAATGTTGACCCCATAGCAGGATGCAGGCATTTGGGAGCTTGGCTCTCAAAATATAATCAAGCTGAACTACTCAGAGCTTGGAAGCCTATGGGACCCAGTATGAGACCCCTCTCTGGAGCAGTGTCTCTGTGCAATATCTAAGGCAGCTCCCTATGTTAGTCTCAAGGCCTGTGTAGGTTGAGGGCTCTCCTATTGCTAGGATTGTAAAAGTTCATGGCAGGAGTGTACAGCCTTGGGGGTGGGGGGTCTCTCACTTCCCCGTTCCTCATGTTTGAGAACTTCTGTCCCCCAGCTGATCTTGGCCAAGAGGGTTGCCTCAATTCTCTCTGCTGCTTTGCTTTCACTGCTTCCTGTTACTACTCTGTTCAATTACAGTATCTTCTCTTTGATCTAGTCAACATTTGTGTATCTACTTTTCCTTTTGGTTTCTCTTTCTGGAAGAGGTGGACACTAGCAGCATCTAGTCAGCCAAATCGAACCCTCTCATCTGTACTTTTGTATCATTTAACAAACCTTTCCTTCCCTCTACCATTCCCATGCTCTAGGATCCTTTGTCTGGCCTTTTACTTCTATGAGATCAATATTTTAAACTTCTGTTTATAAAGAGAACATGCAGTGTTTAGCTTTTTGTTCCTGGCTTATCTCACTTAACAGAATGTCCTCCAGTTTCATCCAAGTTGCTGTGAATCAGAGGATTTCATTCTTTCTTATGGTTGAATAGTATTCCATCCTGTACATATATCACATCTTCTTTATCAGTTTATCTGTTGTTGGCTACCTAGGTTGATTCCCTGTTTTGGAGGTTACATGTGTAACCTTTGGAGGTTACATATTTCCTTGCTTTCTCATGGTCATTGTGTCCCTATATTGATTTCTACGCATCTGGCAGAAAATTGTTTCTTCATTTTTTAGGAATAGATTTTCTAGGTAAATACTTGTATGAATAGGTTTTGGGGTGTTGGCTTAGCGGGGTGCATTGGCCTTGGTTCTGCACAGGTGCAATAGTGTAGTCTCTCTGTAGTTTTTTCATCTATAATCCACATTAGTGACATTTGCCAGTTTCTCTATGGCCTAGACTGAAGAGTTTGTGGCGATGGGGATATGGCTTTGCCAGGCATGGGTTCTCTGGGCTGATTCTTAGGTTAGTGACATGTGCATGCACACAGTTGGTCAACCAACATAGGGTTTGGCTCACTGCTATGGGTCTGTTACTCTGGCCAAGAGCATGGGTTCACAATTGCTTGGCCAGCCTGGGAATGTACCTGCCAGAATTGGTTTTGGGGGCTATTTCTTAGGGTCAGGATGCAGGTACTTGGCCAACCTGAGGATGTGTCTGCCAGGGGTGGCCCTCAGGGCTGTTTTTCAGGCTTGGGATAATGATGCAAGGCTGCTCACCAGGGGCAGCCCCCAGCATGTATCTCTGGTATGTGAGTACATAGCCCCATAGCCCCATAGGACTATTTCTCAGGCCCAGGACACAGCTGCATGGCTGCTCATTTGGCATGTGGATGTATTTGCTGAGGGTGGGCCACAAGGGTGTTTCTTAGGTCCAGGATGCAGTCCCACAACGTTTCAGCTGTCCTGCTGGGTATTAGTTCATTGGATGTGGTTCACAGGGCTGTTTCTCCGGCCCAGGAAACAGATGCACAGCTGCTTGGTTGACCTCGAGTGTGTTGCCAGACATGGCCCATGGGACTGCTTCTCAGGCCCAGGATGCAGGTGCAAGGCTGACACAGTGTGGGGTATCTCTTAGAGGCAGGCACAGAGTTGTTTCTCAGGCCTATAACATGACTGTGTGGCTGTTCAGCTGGCCTGGGGACATTTTTGTAAAGGATGGCCCATGAGGCTACTTCATAGGCCTGGGACAAGGGCACAGACTTGTGCTGTTTGCCTGGGGGCTTATTTGCTGTGGTTTCCCATGGAGCTATTTCTTAGGTCTGAGATGCAAGTGCAAGGCTGCTTGGCTGGTTCCACTTTTAGTAGTGATGGGGTCTCACTCTTGTGCAGGTTGGTCTTGAACTCACAAGCTTAAGGGAACCTTCCACCTCCACCTCCCAGAGTGCTCGGATTATAGGCATGAGCCACTGCATTTGGCCTGCTCAAAAGAATTAAATTTTGATATACTTCAATTTGCCTATTTTTTTCTTTGTTGGTTATGTTTTTGGAAGCATATCTAAGCACTCTTCCACAAATCCAAGATCATGAAGAGTTACCTTTATGTTTTCTTCTGAGAGGTTCATAGCTTTTGCTTTTGTACTTAGATCTTTGGTCTATTTTAAGTTAACTTTTGTATATAATAT